AACATAAGTCGTTGGAGAAAGGAATCTATTTTGTTCATATTTTTAAATCTTCTACAAGCTCCTGATGGGAATAATGAAATCATTTGTTCACTTAAGACCTTAAACCTGAAATTTCATAGATGGGGGGTTGGCTCTAAGAGTTGAACTTTGGACCTTTGTTTGCTCTAGTACCATGCTGGACCATCTCATCTAAATATTTAAGTTGTTAAAGAAGGGAGAGGTATTTATTTTATATTTTATATCATAAAAATGTCCTAGGCACAACGAGGGATGACTATTCAGTAACTTAAGAAAATAAACATACTTAAAATAAAATAAAAATGGCAAATACAATGATTTTAACACAATTCAGAAAACATAATGGAATGTATGAGCACACTCACTCAAAAGAAGGCCATCCCAGACATCCGTCTGATTGCGAGGCTGGTGTTACTTGACAATAGAAGAAACCTGTAAGTGTTAATGCGTATGCAGCCACCTTTCCCAAGAGTAGAAGAACATTTGTAGCTTTACTGAGAAAAATAGTTAAAAAGAAAGACTAGTTAGATCTTCTAAAAAGGAGCACATCTAAAAAGGATAAAAAATGGGATACCTCCGAGAATGTTTGTGAAGATCCCAGTGAAGGAATTTAAGACGATTCTCCTCTGACAGATCTTTATTAATAGCTTCAATGGCATTAGCAAACTCTGTACGAAGAATGGATTCTCGAGGCTTCTTTTCATTTGTCTGTTGATAACAAAATTCAATGCCTATAAATTATACACTTTAACAAATTCAACAAGTAACAAATATGGAGTTAACAATTCATCATAACGCCATTAAGTACAAAAGTTGAAATTAAATCCTCACCTTAATCAAATTTAAAATGATAATAGGATTCCCATATCTCTTGACAAGATTTTCAAAATGAAGTCTAGTAGACTCGTAATTTTGTTCCCTTTTTGACACTGCAAATAAACATCAATTGTGAAGTACAGACCTGAAAATCAGATGAGGGTTTTTTGCCACAAAAATAAATAAATAA